CACAAACAAATAAACGAACAAACAAATAAAGCGCAGCAACAGAAACAACGCATGCATCTGCATGCATGCATGCATGCATGCATCTGCATGCATGCATGCATGCAAGTGCATGCAGCCCCAAAAGAAGAGATGCAGCAGACAAACCAGTTTAACATTTCCCCTGAAGAAGACGCCTGGAGACTGAGCCACCTGCGGGTCGCAGTGTACAGACAGCAGAGAAAAAGAAGAAATATAAATAAATATAAATAAATATAGAATAAATATAAATAAATATAAAATAAATATAAATAAATATAAAATAAATACAATATAAACAAATAAAATATAATATCTAGATAGATATAACAATACTTTTATGTTGTATTTCTATATAAATAAACATAAAATAACATCTAGTAGATATATATAACAATACATTTCCATTGTATTTGTATATAAACAGAAATAATATAAATAGTTATTCAGCTGTACATACACCTGAATTGAGGTGTACAGACACCGCAAGCAGCCTACCGCCTCCAGCTCCCTCCCCACTATCTTTATTTCGGGTTTGTCTGCGGCTACGCCGTAACGAACTAAACCTAGAGGGGTGGGCAGAGCATCAATAAGAACAATTTCCAGCTGCATGGCCTCCTGCTGCTTCTGCTGCTGCTGCTGCTGCTGTTGCTGCTGCTGCTGCTTCTGGCTCTCTACGAGGCGCAGCAGCATCTTCGCGCAGTACAGACCGCTGGGGCCCGCTCCCACTATACATACGGAGAAAGGCTTCTGTCGCTTGGCATGCAGCAGCTGTTGCTGCTGCTGCTCTTGCTGCTGCTGCTCCTGCTGCTGATGCTGTTCTACCCGCGGAGTATGCTGCTGCTGCTGCTGCGGGCTGTCTTCAGGCCGCTGTTGCTGACACACTGTGTGCAGCTCCCTGATCCTTAACCCTCTGCATGCCTTCGAGCCCCCCACCGCACTGCAGCGATGAGAGGAAACCCATCCTTTTTGAATTCGTTGAAGGGCCGCTGCTGCTGCAGCTGCTGCTGGGGCATCCCGTGCTGCTGCATTTGCTGCTGCTGCTGCTGCTCGGGCATCCTGTGATGCTGCAGTTGCTGCTGCATTTTCTGCTGCTGCTGTTGCTCGTGCTAGTTGCCTTTGCTGGAAAAGATGCAGCAGCAGCCCAGCAGCAGGGATGCCGGGGGCCCTCCCCGCGGTGGGTAGCGGGGCCCTGAGAGCTGTACGCCTCAAAGCCCGCGTGAGTGCTGGCGATACACCGGACATGGGGAAACGAGTTGCATGATGAGGCGTGAAGAGGAGAGGAGCAGCAAAGTGCAGTTACGACCGCAGCCAGCAACTGCGGCCTCGACGAGCTAAATGCTGCTGCAGCTGCTGCTAGCTAACAACTTCAACAGAATACATCTAAAGGCGGAAGAAATCGCCTTTTAAGAAATGAAATAAACATAAAACAGCTCCTCAGCTCGGTACTGTATGTACCGATGCGGAGTTGTATGGTAACCGCCGCCGCGGTAACGAACCCAGATCAGAAAACCATCACGGTCCTGTGTGTAAATTCAGCTTTTCGGTGTTTATACCACCGACTATAAATTCTAAAAATTTATTTAAAATTTATTAAAGAGATGCTTTGCATGCATACAGCTCAGAATCCGGCGAGCATCGAACCTCACTCACGACGATGATCTTCTTTCTGCAGCCCCGAAACTCGTGAATTTCGTCAGCAGCCGAGGCAGTAAGCTAAAAAAAAAATAAAGAAAGCTGAATAAAAATTAATTAATTAAATAAATCAATTAAAATAAATTAATTTGATTCAAAAGAACATTCGATATTTCGCCTCTAGAAGGAAGAATCACCGAATTCAACTTTTTGCAGTTTCAGCTGTTCAGAAAGAGATCTGTTCAGCTGTCTTCTCTTGAAACGCTTTCCTTATACATAAAAGAGAAAAAAACATGAATAATGTTGTTTTCTTTCTTCTCCGGAGTGTTGTGGTGTTTCAGTAAAGTAAACAATATAATATGCTCGTCGTATCGAGCATCCTTGCAACAGAAAGCTGAACGAAAGCTGCATGTACAGCCGACGACGAAACCCAGCAGCCAATGAAACTTGAATCAGGAAACTTGCAACAACGAAATGTTTTCTCCTGCGTTTTATATTTTCAGTATAAAAAGGAGAAACTTCTCTACAACTGCTTTCCTAGTAAGAGGAACCTACTTACCTCAGCACACCTAGTTGGGTAAACAATTCAACTAAAGCAGAACAAGGCGGTGCTAGCATCTACAGCATCCCCTCCCTCTACCTACCTATCTACCTACCTACCTATGTATATATACATGTATAAAAATACTATACACTGCAACAGCCCTACTAAACCTAAACCCTAAAGGAGCAACCAGAGAATGTTGCTGGTTTCCGCGTTCCTTGCAATTCAAACCTTCAGGAACTCGAGAAGGAAAATCTCGGTTGTTTGTTTGTTCTCCATGACAGACGATTGAACTTTCTGTCTGTGTGGCTTCTTGTCAACTCATGGATATAATAATATAGAGAAAAAAATTAACAAATGGGACTCTCCGTGACAAGAGCTGCATTGAGAGGATGAAACGAAAGCGTATTTCTTTGCTTTCTGCTTGAAGGAATTGCCAATTCTATGAATTCATGAAACAAGTTCAACATTTTTTGCAGCTTTCTTTCTCTCTTTTCTGCATATCCGTGCATGCATGTGGTGTATGTATACAACAACAACAACACGGACGAGCACCACCAACCACCTCAGTGCAGAGAAGAAGAGGGAAAGCTGTAAGTTTAATGTTATTGTTTTATTTTATTTTGATTCTTTTTACATATATTATATATTGAACGATATATTCATTGAATTCATGAACACCAACCCGCAGCATTTCTGTTTCCTCTCACGAAGGCACGGCATCTTCTGAATTGAAATACAGAGGACCCTACACGGTAAGCAGTTGCTGCTGTTGTTGTTTTTTGTTTTTTTCACTTTATAATTATAAATATAATTAATATTAATGTTATTTTTGTGTTTATTTTTATTATTTTCATCACCACTGCAACCCGTAGTTCCAATCCGTCTGCATCGGTTCCTTCTTTTGCAGAAACTTCATTCCGAAAACACTTTCATCTTCCTCTTGAATATTTTTTTTGTTTTCTAGAAATTCTCCTCTCACTTGATCTTTTTCTTCTTTTTCTTTCTTTATCTCATCAGGCTTCAAATGTTCAGTGATTGCTTCGCTTGCTGTTCTCTTCTCTGCAGGTTCAATAACAGCAACAGAAGACGGCTCGCTTGCCTCTCGAACAACTGCGGCCTTAACCCCCCCAACATATGTTTCATTGCTTCCTTCATTCTGTACATCTCCTGCATTCAATGCAACTGCTGCTGGTTCTGCTTCTTGCTGCTGCTTCTCCTCCTCACCACCACTTGTCTTCTCCAGCAGCGGCGGGAAAGCTGTCTCATGTCTGCTGCTGCTGCTTACAGCAGCAGCAGCAGCAGCAGCAGCAGCCGCAGCATCATCATCATCAGCTTTCCTGCTGCTGATGAAAGCAGCAGCATCTTCTCGACCTTTGCTGCTGCTGGAAGCAGCTGCGTCGTCGTGGGCTCTGCTGTTGCTGCTTAGAGCAGCAGCAGCAGCAGCAGCAGCGGCAGCAGCAGCACTTTCTGTATCTTTTTCTCTATTCACGTTTCCTTTTTCAGCAGCAGCGAGGTCATCCGTTTTGTGGTGTTGTTTCTCGCGGTGTACACTACTAGAAGATATGGGTTCCTCCTGCAGGGGAAAAGCTGCAGCAGTTTGTCTGTTTTCTTCTGCAGCAGCAGCAGCTCCTTCTTCAGCAATTTGTAGTATTTTAGCTGTAATATCTTTAATATGTCTTGTATCTATGGTGCTATCTGCTGCTCTTCTTGATCTTCTTCTTTCTCTAGTAGTTTGTCTTTCTGATCTTCTTGTACGTACACTGCTTTGGGGTGTAACTGCTTCTTCTCCTTCATTATGCATACCCTCATCTATATGTACACCAGTTATTCTTCTTGACGTTCTGGTTTTTTCTCTCTTACTTCTTTTTTTTGTTGTAAAGGAACCATGTCTCCTGCTGTCTGCTTCCTCCTGCATATCTCCATCAGCAACATACCCCATGCTAGTTACTGTATTTGTTCTTGAGCTTTCTTCATCCATAGCAAGAGACCCACTTCTTTTTACTCTTAATTGTTTTTTAGGTTGTCTCTGTTTCCCCAAAGTAAAATGTTTTATTAACAAACCCATCAACCGAGCAAGCCCTATAGCAACCAAACCAAAAGGAACTTGTTGCAGTGCATCTAAGAAAAAATACTGAGAGGATGCATGCGACCTTGCGAGTATTTTACTTAGTAAGCCAGAAGAAGCAGCAGCAGCATTGCTGCTGTTATCTACACTTATAGGGTTTTTATATAAAGAACCTAATATAATAAACAAAACAAGAAGAGGTACACCTATAAGTAAGTCCCAATTCTCTGCTACCCATTTAGGTATAGGGTTTTTCTTTTTATTTATTGCTTTATCTAGATGATATACACTCAAAGCAAGAGAAACAAGTCCCCCAACAACAAACCCTAACCACAGCCTCCACGCAACAACCCAAAGTAAAGCACTCGATGCACTCCCTAGCCTACTGAGCGCCATACTGTGTTTATCTTGGTGGTTCTTTAACCCCGCCCCAGATGTCTGATAAAAGTAAGAAAGAAAATAAGCGGTAGCCAAAGCAAAACCAGCTAGAACCAGGTGTATACTTCTCTTCCTAGCAGCACGAGACTCTGCATGCAGCCGCGCGGGGTGACCCTCAGGCAGGTGGGTGTAGTCTTGTACCTTAGATAACAGCTTTCCGTATTTCTCTCCGCTCCCTCTCTGGCTGCTAGGTGACCCCAGCAGCCCGGGAACGGGATCGTGTTGCAGCTGTATCTCTTCGTTTTTATCCGCCATAGAAAGAGGTGCATCACCAGATATACGAGCTGAAGATGCACGCTTCTCTCCTCCTGCTGCTGCTGCTGCTGCTGCTCCTGCTGCTGCTGCTGCTGCTGGTGTTGAGTCTATACTCGCACCACTCAATGCTGTAGGAGGAAACTGCTTGCCTCCATCTACCTCAGCAGCAACTTGTAATTCAGATACACCAACTGGAACTGCTGCTGCTGCTGCATCTGCTGCTGCTGCTGCTGCTGCTGCTATCCCTGTACCCAGCAGAAACAATACACTCAACAGAAACATGCTGCATGCACCGAAGAAATATATTTTGCTCTCAGTATACACCCTACTACGCCTCCCTCCCCCCCCACGCAACCCTAATAAACCACCCATCCTTGCCGCCTACTCAGCAGAGCAGCAGCAGAAAGGAGGAAGGATCCAAGTTGAAGAGTTTATAAATGCGAGAACAAAGCGAGAAAAGAAACAAAGAAAAGAGAGAAAAACAAAAAGAGAGAGAGAGAGAAGAGAGAGAAGAGAGAGAGAGAGAGAGAAGGGGACCCCCAACAACCCCTCTCCTCCTTAACCCAGCAACAGAAAGAGAAAGCAAGGCTGATCTTCTTCTCTTATATGCACCCCCACAAAAGCTTCTAAATTCTCCTGCAGGTATTGAAATAAGAGAAAAGAAGAAAAGCAAACAAAGAAAAAAAGAATGAAGAGGCTGTAGCTGCAGCTGCAGCGCCCGCGACGGGAGCTCCACTGCTGCAGCAGAGGCAGCAGCAGAAAAAGGAGATACTGCTGCTGCGGATCTGGAGAAGAAAAAGATAATATTTATTGTTAAAAGTAATAAAATAATAAAAGAAGTTTTAAAAACTGAATAAGAAAGCCGTATTGGTGCTCAGCAGCAGCTGCTGCTGCTGCTGCTCAGCAGCTCCTCCATGTGGCGTACGGGTATATAGCGCAGGGCGCGGAGGAGAGAAGAGCCAGCAGAACAGCTTTATAAAAGAAAAATAAAATAAATAAATAAAAATTAAATGAAAAGAACAAAAAGAAAACACAAAATGCAACAATTTAAACCCACAAAGACCCTACTTACCCTCACGCGGGGCTGCATTGGTATCTAGTTGGTGTCGCTTAGGAGGAGCTGCAGCAGCAAGAGCAGCAGCAGCCTGCATGCAACGCTTTCATCAGGTAATATTAAATAAATATTAATTAAATATTATTTAATTCTTGTTTTCTCTTTATTTTTATTAAAATTTAAAAAAAAACACACACACAAACACCCCCATCGTCGCTATACACAGAAACTCCCCCCCTATCAACTACTGAGCGTTGCTGCTGCTGCTGTAGCAGCAGCAGCAGCAGCAGCAGCAGCAGCAGCAGCAGCAGCAGGTGTACGTCTTTGGTTTATTATCTCCTTTTGTTTGCTGCAAATGCAAACAATAAATTCTTTTTAGTTCTTTTCTTTACCTAATGCAACACAAATGCAGCAGACTGCTGCAGCAGCGGCTTCGGCTGCTGCTGCTGCTGTTCTTGCTGCTGCTGGTTGCAGCATTCCCTTCATCTCTCCCCCCCTTCCCCCCCACCACCACCACCACCACCGCAGCAGCAGCAGCAGCAGCAGCAGCAGCANCCCCCCCCCCCCCCCTCTCTCTCTAAATTTATATAACAACGGTTTCTCTTCTTCTTCTCCTTGGGATGCTTCTTTGACTCCATTTCCACCCAACTACCATCGCCATCCATCTCTCCCCCCTTTCCCCTCTGGCTGGGGGATGGGGGGGGGCCCCCAGGGGGCCCCTGTGTATGGGGGGGCCCCCCAGGGGGCCCCTGTCTATGAAAGGGGCCCCCATAGGGGGGCCCCCGGTGATGGAGTACTGTCGGGGGCCCCTGGGGGCCCCCAGGGGCCCCAGGGGGCCCCCAATGCAGCTGACTTGTCAGGGGCCCCTATAGAACACCCAGCAGCAGAAAGAAATGGTGAGGGTTTAGGGTTTAGTGGGGTTGAGGATATAAAGACATCTATGCATGCAGGAAGCTCAGGTGTATATGGTGTTCGTCGTTTGCTGCTGGGTTTGTTGCTGCTGCTGTGCAGCAGCTTTGTGTTTGTGTCTGTTACTTTGCGAGATATAGAGCAGCAGCTGCAGCAGCAACTGAAGGAGGAGCAGGAGAAGCAGCAGCAGCAGCAGCAGCAGCAGCAGCAGCAGAAACATATACAAGAAGAACTAAAAGAAGTAGGCATCGCCCTATTATCCTATTTCAGCCCCGGTTTAGGGGTAGCAGCAAAAGGGCTTGATTTTATTCTCCAAGACAAAGGAGACAGCAGCAGCAGCAAGCAGCAGCAGCAGCAGCAGCAGCAGCAGCAGCAGCAGCAGCAACCGCAGCAGCAGCAGCAATCCCAGCACCTTAACCTGAGCCACCGCATGCATAAATATATAAAAGAACATAAAACCCTCGCTGCAGCAGAAGCTGCTGCTTTTCTTTTGGGGCTTTTGCTGCTTCTTACGGGAACCATTAAAATATATAAATCAGCGCCAGCAGCATTAGCTTATAAACTAAAAAGAAAATATAAATCATAAAGTATATATATATATATATATATATATATATATATATATATATATATATATATATATATATATATATA